CGGGTGAGCTCAGGCCGGAGGAGGGTCCGTCGGGAGCCCCGGTGCGGAGCTGAGGAGGTACCGTTCCGGCAGCTGCGGGCGGGAAAGCTGCAGGGCTTCCAGGCTGCCTCCCGTGCCGAAACGTTGCAGCGTTTTATGAGCTTGTAGAGTTGAGTCGCTCACGGGAAAATACGGAGTGTCCGTAGGAAAGGAAGGCCCTGGGAGGTCGTTGCAGCAGAGGAAAAAAAACCGCACTTTGAGGTGTCAAAAAAGAAATTGCTGTCATAAGGGCAGCTTAGGGTTTATATTTGCCTTAATTTCTGAAGTACTTGTCCCGTGAGTTTTGGAAATGCTAACGATCCTGCGGGTCCGGGGGCCCGCAGGGCTGCGCTGCGGGGAGGCCCGGGGCTGCGGCCTGTCCCGGGTGCGGGCAGTGCGGAGGGAGACGGGTGTCGGTCCCCAAAAGCAGTTAAAACGCTTACACTCTGTGCTGTGGGGTGGCGAGGTAGCCTGGGGTGGTTTTGAGAGTCAAGCACCAAGCTCACTTTGGGCTTAGTAAGTGGTACGTGAGATTTGCCTACCTGTGAAGTGGTGATGGTGTTACCAGCCTGTGTGATCTGCTGAGGCAAGCAGGGATGCAGACACTCTCTCTCAGGATATGCTAAGCTCTGCTGCCTAAATAAGTGTTACCATTGCTTCCAGTTTTCTTCAGTCAACAAATGTCAACTGTTGTTAATTGTTCAAAATCAAGACCAAGTTTCTAACCTCAATAGTTGCAAACAATGATGTAAAATATGAGTTTAATATATCCTGAAAGTTTAAACTCAAGGGACTGTGTAAAAGGAAACCAAAACTGCCTTTGGTTTCTTGCACCTTTTTGGCAATATAAAGATGTCTCAGTATAATTTGCTGCTGGTTTTTGGTAGTGGAGTTGCCAGAATAGTTGTGGCCTTACTGTGTGTCCTGTATGTGCTTGAAAACTCCAAACTGAAACTGTGGGTTTCAGTTTTTTCAGATAAAAATCTTTGGTAATGCTTTGGTGCTATCTGCAATGGCAAGTGTGCTCTTGACACTTACTTTCTTCTGTTAACTACTGCTGTTTTTTCATTTAGTCTTTAATATCCAAGTTGGCCCTGCAGGTATCTTCTCTAAATTAGTTTTTTGATTCAAAGCTTGATCGTATGTTGTATATATTGGCTCTTTTGTGCCATCTTTACTTTCCATGGTTTGCATGTCCTATTCTCTGGGGTTTTTCCTCCCCTTTTGTAGACTTGCTTCCATCTGAGATTGACCTGTGATTTTTCTAGGACATACTACTTGAGTTGTTTGTTTTAATTGCTTCCTGTGAGATGTGTATGTCTATTCTGTTCCTTTATTTTGTACCTGTTAGTTTTGCCATGATGCTTGTTGAAGGACTCCATAAATGTTAAGCTGATTATGTGCTATACTACAGAGTGTATTTATGCTGTTATCTTGTGTTTTCTGACTGTACCTGTCTGTTTTCTGGGTTTGCACTTTAATTGTAAATTGATGTGGTTTTTACATATATTTTCAACAGCTATTGCAGCAGGTTTCTGATCCATGTCTGATAGGTGCTACCAAAATAATACAATAATAAGCCATTAACTGTGACTGTTTTGGATTTGTTCTGAGAAGGGCTAAACAACACTACTAAAACAAGTTATTTTGTCTAGAAAAAAAAAGTCTATATAGAGATAGCAGTAGTTTGTTTTTTTTTCCTAGTGATCACTGTATTGAGACTCCCTATGAGGGAATTAACTATATTCAAGTTAATCTACTTAGGAAAAAATTATTAGTTTTTTATTATTTTGTTCTTGAGGCAAAAGCATGGTCATGTGTAAAGGAGCTTTTTTTTAAAAAATGATTGATCTGTTCTGGATAAATTAGGCTTAATGAAATGCAGTCAGAAACCTCCATCTTCTAAGGCAGAGTGTTTCATTAAGCTAGCTAGGTAAGATAATAAAACCGACAAATGCTGCACATGGTTTTTCTTTAACATTAAAAGCTGTCTACAGGAAGTTACTGCTTAGCATAACAAATGCAATTTGTTAGTTTTGCATCTTTCTCAAGTTTTGTTTGTTCGTTTGTAAGACAGGGCTCAGTCCCGTGAGGGATCCTCTTACACGGTAGCACTTCCAAACACAGTTAGTGGGGTCTGAGCATCCTCCTGGTGGCCACGTGTTGGGAAAGCAACTTTTCTAGCCACTGCAGTAGCATCAATCTGATATTTTAACTTGTTTTGTGGCTTCTATTTTGTAACTGTGTATTCACCATTCATTTTTTATTTATAGCTTGCAGTAACTATTAACTAAGAGGCAAGTTGTGACAGTTGGTGTAGCATATTGTAATAGTAATGTTTTATAGCTCTAACATTTTTATTTAAGGAGCTCACAAGCACTGTAGTTATTTTAACTCCATAGCACCTATTGTAGGTGAACATTATTGTTCCTCATTTATCTGTGAGCAAACGAAACTGTAAGTAGGTTTAAAGTGGAAAAGCAAAGCCTCAAAGACCTGGGGGGAATTTCCGCAGTTTCAGTGAAGAATAAACTTTTCCCTTGTAATCACTGCAAGTAGGGATCATTGTTGCTTACACTTGCAGGAGAAGGAGGCCCTAATGACTCATAGAAAGTAGCAACAGAATAAATGTACAGGCAGTCCTAGATCAAAACTGCTCTCTTTGCTAACAGAGTGATTCTTTATTAAGAGCTAATCTGCGAGGAAACATCTGTATGGGAGAGATGGTGTTGGAATACTTGCAGGTTCTTTTTTACTTGAATAAAAGTTGTAGCAAACTAGCTTGAGCAGTGAAGGTAGCAGATAGGCAGCCTGATTGTTAAAACTCTGGATCCTCTTGTTAACAGGCTGGGTGATCTCTGTTCATAGTAGCTTTCTTTCTTTCTTTGAAGAATAAGAGCCATAGTCATAATCTCACTGCATAATTTACAGAGGCAATTTAAGGTAGTATGACCTGTCTGTTGGAGATTATTAAATTTACACCTCTACTAACAAGGTAGCAAAGTCCCCTGGAGACTGTGCTGAAAGCCATCAGGAGTGCTAGCATGATTTGTCCCACTCCCTGAGCTGTGGCTGTGGAAACGAGTTCCTGCAGCTGGGCTCAGATTCACAGCCTTGGTGGGTGTTAAGCTATTGCAGCTGACAGCCACCTTGCTGTAAAATACTGACTCTAGTGTACATGATTGATAGTATATTTTCTGCTCAATGACTTAAACTTCTAAAGCAGGTGAACAGTGACTACCTAACCATGTTCTCTGTTATAGAGGCCAGTCTAGTGGCAAGACTGCTGTGTGTATCTAGTTAGACTACTTTATGTTCAACTGATTGCGAGATAAGAGCTATGTGTTGCTAAATATCTTAAAATCACTTGCTTTGGCAAACAGTTTAAAGAAATTGAAATATAGGAAAGTGTGATGAAAGACTGGTCCTGATAACAGTGAAGTCAGATCTTGCTGTGTACATAAAAAAGTGTTGATCTGTTGCAGTAATGCTACTGAGTAAGTATTGCATAAACTCGGCTGACAAACTAATCTTTGCTAAATGCAAACAGAAGTAGTGAAAAAGCAAACTGAAAATAATCTGATATTTGATACATAGAAACAGATAAAAGGAGTTTGTGCCTTATACTCTATTTAAATGTTACCCAGTTAGTATAGCAAAGTAATTATGCAGTGAAATACAGATACCACTGGAGCATGCTTGAGAAGAGTTAATTAGTGTAGTGGAATCCTGAACAATCAGTGTTTGAATCCTCTTTTTTTAAAATGTGTATTTTAATTTTATTTCATTATTAAAAAATACTCTTCAGAGTTTGGAAAGAGGAATTCAAGAAACAATTTATTTTCTGTCCATGTGCTCAGTGGGTGCTGTTCCGTTGGTCAGCTGAGTCTTTCTTTTAAAGCAAGAACTTCTAAATCTTTTAAAGCAATCAACTCCTTTTAGCCATACCAGTTTTCCTGTAGGTTTTCTTTGTATTAGAATGAAACCAAAGCATTCCTAATATGTAAAAGGAAAGTGGAGGGGGCAGAGTGCAAATCCAGGCCCAAAGGCATAAACAGAAATACCTCTGGGAGTCCCAGGATCTCTGCCTCTGGCCTGCTTTGTAAACACAAGTAGGTCTCACTTAATGGATGCTTTCCATTTTTTAGCCCCTCTGCTTTTTATTGTTACTATTTTGATTTTAAATGTGAATACTAGATGATACGTGTGCTATCTAAGATACCGTGGGACCAGGCAGCTAGGAATATAAAAGCAGGTGAAAAATGAAGACATCAGATACCGGTCTTTTCACTGCAAGAATACTGTGAAGTACACAGTCACGGTATGAAAAGACATGGAGCCTGTTCCACCCCTGGTGTCAATTCACTTCTGTATAATGGCATTAAAGATAATTTGCCCATTTATATTTAATCTGATTAGAATAGACAGGCAGCTTTAATTAGGTGGCTGTGAAAGGAGTGCTATTTCATGCAAATCACTTGACTGTAAGTATTGGTCTGGTCTGAGTGGCTGCTGGCCAGCTGCTGGCTCTTGCATTTCAGTAGCACCAGATCATAGATATGAAATGTGCTTAATTATATGCATAACCACTAGACTTGAGGGTGTTTAAGAACTTCCAGAACTATGAAAGCTCTTTAATCTCAAGGGGTTATAATGTATTGTAGTTTTCTGATTCAAAACAGCGTGTTAAAAGAGCACTTAATTAATAGGAATACTGTATTTTGCAGACTGGGGAGTGTTTTTGTTCTTTACATTCTGACCGACTTGTGGAGGATCTTTTGGAACATAACAAGAATCCAATGCCACTGTACTGTGAGGGGAAGAAAAAAACCCACACCACTAGTGGCTAGAAAACCAGAGCTCAGTTTGGGCACGTAACAGTTGACACAGCTGCCTGATACTGTGATTGCTACTTGCTGCCCTCCTGGTTGGGTGGCTGGTCACTCAGAGCTGGTGTTGTCCTTACTACTGTAGCTTCTCACTTCCTTTTCTGAAGCTGTGCTGCGATATATTTTATCGGTAGAATCCATTCTTTCACTGCTAAATTTCAGAGTTTTGCTTATCACTAATGTGTCTTCTTGATGATGTTCTCTTCCCAATAATTTATTTGGTCTAATGGTAAAGCTTTGTGGTTTTGTAGCTCAGGGCAGTGCTGGTTTGCAGCTAATCACACCTACATTTCCAAATGTGACAATCTAAATAAGCTGTCTCAGAACAGTCCAAGGTTCAGCACTTCATAGAACGTTTTTACTGCCTATCCAACACACTACACAGGATGTTTTTACTATGTGTACAATACATTACTTTTAGTATTATTGTATTATTAATACAATACTGTCAGTGTTATTGTTAAATGTTTGTTATTACGTGCCAAGGTAAATTGAACTCCTGTTATGCAATGCTGTTGTCAGCCCAGGATCATTAGAAGCTGTAGGAAAAAACACTAGACAGTTCTCCAGGTGTTTTAATAGGCGCCTGGCCTCCTGAGGGGAAAGGGACTTTTGGCAGAGCTGTACACAAAGAAGTGACACAAGTAAGTGAGCAGCCCCAAGAAACTTCCTTATAGCAGGTTTTTCCTCCGTTTCCATCCTATCTGGCTCAGCCTTCTTCCTACTGCTATTACGAGAGCTTGTCCTACTGCAGATATTAGATAATATACTTTCATTTGAGTTTATTAATTTTGTCTGCCTGCGTCTCTTACATGCTCTTTTACGTCCTTTTTTTTTTAATGTTCTCGGCAATACATTATTAGGGTTGTATTACTGCATAAAATACACTGTGAGCCCTCTAGTGGTACTTTCTACCTTTGCTTTAGGCTGTGGTAGCATTTTTTTCTTTCCAGCAGTACTTGCTTGAGGCGAAGGAGTGAGATGAACGCCTGTTTTCTGTAGTCTTCCCAATTTTATTGAATTAGTGTGAGAAGGAACACTTGCTTTCCCTGTCACACCGGGGGGGGACTGGTGCCTCCGGCTGGGGACTCACATCCCTGACAGCCAGAGCTGCTGGTCGTGGCCGCAGTGCAGGCACAAGTCCTGGGGCCAGGGCTGTTTTCTCTGGGCAGGGCAGCTACAGAAACGTGTGTCCGCGGATCCCTGGCTGCGGCGGCGGGGCTTGCGCGGGTGCGCAGTACGACTGCGCTGCCCAGCGCCATCGGGTGGCGGGAGATGCTGAGCAGGGGGGCTCTGGAGGCGGGGGGTGATCAGGGAGCGGGGCCGCACAGAGCCCATTCCTCCTAGGAGTGCCTGCCCTGCTTGTATGTCATCGCAGCTCTGTGTGCCTCTTCGAAAAGCGGCTGGAGAAGGGGCAGGATGGCATCACTGCTTCTAGGCGGTACCTGCCTCTGATTTTATCACTCTCCTTCCCGGCGCATTGGAGTCAAGCCTTTGCAAAGACTTCCCAGTACTGTGTCCTTCCTCACTGGACAAGTAGAGTCAAAACCAGTTCAATGCAGGCTTTGGGATTTTTTCAGCACCTTCACGGAGTTTACGTGCTCTAAATGCCTACAATACAGAGGAATCCAGCTGCTTCTAATGGGATGCATTTGCATAGAGGAAGAATTCCTCATTTAAGATGGGTAATAAGCAAACGATATTTACTGATGAACAGCTAGATGCCTACCAGGTAAGATATCTTAGTTGGCATTGGGGGAAGAAAATCTTAGTGTTTGTGAGGCTTTTGTTTTGGGATGTGTTTTTTTCCAAATATAAATGAAAATTTCATTTGTAGCCCATGTGCATATGTTCTGCTGCTTTTTCACAGCAATCATGATAGTATTTTAGGGCTGGGTTGTGGGATACACTTTAATTCCCTTCTTTGTATACAAGGAATAGAATCCTCAGTGTGTGGACTAGGAAGCAGGATAAAGATGGTGATGAGCTTGAAAAAGGGAGTTCTTAGTAGAATCTTTCTATTGAGTGTTTTGTAAAAAGAAAGTATTGCAATAACCTCTTTTCTGCCTCCCCGATGCCTTTGCTGTCAATAGAGGAGAGAGGGGGGGAAAAAAAAAGACTTGTCTTACTTAATTTCTCCTAAGGATAAGTAAGAGAAATATGCTTAACCTAATTCCAGAAATAGGTATCCTTGTGTTTTCATCCTCTCCTGGATGGTAGTTTCTTACCTTAACAGAAGTAGTGTGCATATTATGTCCAGGGATAGCTTATTGCTGGTACTTTATTCACTTCTCATTGTGTCGACTGAATTTTTAATAGTGCAAAAAAACCCCACAGTAATTCCCAGTATTCAGTTGTGGTTGAACACACTGCAAATGTTACTGAAATGGTTTGTGTGAAGCTATCTGCACAGGAGGCATCTTGGGCAAGTTTCTGAAGATCCAGTGAGGCTGTCTGGAAGAGGAAGGTGCTGAAGGAGGCAGCTGCCTTAACGAGGTGCAGGCGGGACTGGCTGTATTGCTCTGCTCTCCTACATGAAGAGAGAAACAGAGAATTAACAGTGCAGGAAATAAGCATTTAGTTTATCCCTTGGTAGCCAAGGGACAGATTCAGTGCCCACAGAAGAAAATAACTTCCATTTTTTACTCAAATCCTTGAAGTAAAACTGATTTTTAAATACTATTTTCTTCGGCATTAGTGCTAATGTGGTGTAGATATTTAGCCACAGAGAGGCTGAGGGTATTTGCTAAAATGCTTTAAAATGTTATCCCATGCTGAAAATAAGGCATGAATTTAAACACTCTCCTAAAACTCCTAGCCTTTTTCTTGACATTGTAGGCAAAGTTAAAAAGGAGTTTAATTTCTGCTCTGTCACACATCTCACCCTCATCAGCGGTCTGTCACTGTAATGTGTTACACTAAGGTAGTGATCTTAGACTTAGTAGTCTAAGATAAAGAAAGGCTTTTTTACATCCCTGTTGGGTAGGCAAGAAGGAAATCAAAGACCTGTAAAGCACCAGTGTCTGCTTACTACCAATAAAAGTGAACACAGAACAGAGCCCAACTGCAGTGAAACAAAAAAAAATCCAAATGTAATTAATGTTATCTTCTTGACATAAACTGGCAAATGCAAGAGCTGAAATGTCATCCCTAATTCACTACTCTTCATGTAGAAATTGCCTTTCTCTAATGGCTTTTGCAGCCCCTGCCTTTCATAATGCTGGGTAATTGATCTCAAAGCCTGGCAGCATCAAGGCCCAGTGGATTGAGGCAGCCTGTGGGATTTCTCAGTTACAGGTGGACTTGTAGTTCATTAGTATACTGCTAGATAATTTTTGACTAGTGATAGCACCTGTTCTCTGTGGTGAATATAATAAAATAACAAGTTTCAGGACAATAACCTCTAGAATTTGGTAGGAAGGAATATTAGCCTTTTTCTGTGAACAGTCAGATGAAGCCCTTATTTTTAAGGAGGTTAGCCTCTGGTCCCTTAGTTACTGCACACTTCTTGGATCTTTTCAGTATAGAAATCCTGGGCTTGCAGCTGTAGCCATGCACAGAGCTCCTGTATTTGTGGAATTCCTTCAAAACAGAAAAGGGGAGAATAATTGCCTACTTTTTAAAATACAGTTTTTTCATTTCTTGAGCCAGCAGTCTGATTGCCAGGTTGTTTGGACCAAAGTAAAACGCGTGTACCAGAGTCTGCTTTGCAACAGCCTGTTGTGCACAGCTGTACCCCAGTGTACAGTCAGGCATCTAATTATCAATTGCTTTTAAAATAGGTCACTGATTAGTTTTTTTTCTAAATGAGAACTAGACAATTTCTTGTGAATTTGTATATCTATGAGTTGATACTGTACTCTTTAGAATAATATCCAGGGTTACAGCATCCTTTGTATCAGTATGGCAGAAGCTAAAGTGTCAACTTAATACTTTTTTCAAAATAGAATTTTTGTGTTACTTCCCCAGAGTTGCTTTTAGAAAACTGTTCAAAACCTCATTCCTCTCATGGTCAGGCTTTTAATTTCTTCATTTGAATATATTTCTGGCCATTGTATTGTCTGGTTGTAACTTCCACCTTTTTTGTCTTTAACACAAATTGCACCTGAATGCTACTTTAGTGTATTTTTTAAAATGCATTATGTTTTAGGAACTTATTGACAGGAGGCAACATGAGATGGAAAAGTGAGGGGCTGATGTGCTGAAAAATATGGTGAAACCATGGGTCACTGGCTTTGGATTTCAGGAGTAAACATTAAGGGGCAGAAAAATGACCTGCTTGAAGAGCTAGCATACCTAGATCTCAGATTGTCAATATGATATTAATGAAACAACTTGGTCTTAAACTTTCTGGAATGCTCATGTGTAATATTTTTTGGCACATAAGTTGTCATTGAAGACTCAGTTTTAAGTAGAACCTTTACATGAAATTATTTTGACTCCAGTCATCCATAAGATTACCAGAGTTTTTTTAGTATGAGTGTTTTAAATACTCTTTATTAAGGCTGGTGATGGAAGGTCAGCTGAAATTGTTCGTAAAATAGGCATGATAAGGCTTGATTAACATTAAACCTCTTACAGCTTTCTTTTCATTTGAAATAGGTAGAAGGAGGTTAAAGACTGGAAATCTGTAGATCTCCTAAGACTTTTTAATATCACCTGTTACTAAGATAGTGTTCTAGTTGGCAGCTCTTTAAATTGTCATAAACTCAGTGAAATGTTGGGGAAATTTGGCTTTTGCAAACATGAGTTTCCTTGTTGAGATTCACCTCACTTAAAAAGTTAGCATTGAAAGAAAATTAATTCTACTGGGGATTTCTGCTTCTTACGCTCTTAGAGTACTTGTCTGTTCTGGGTTTTTTTTGTGGTTCGTTTGGTTTTTTTTTTACATAAAGTGCAAAATCAAACCAGGGTCTGCCTAGGAAAAACTTAAGTAATAAATAAATAAAGTTAAGTAATAATTATCAAGAAAGATGTATTTCATTGCAATCTAACATTTTAAAATTAGGCTTTTACAAGTGGTCTGTGGATTTTGGTGGCCAAGACTTATAATGAGAAAAGAAAATTAATGGGAATTTTAGGGCTTTTTTTGAGTGATGCTGTATAAAGATGCTCAAAGCAAAACAAAATACAGGTATATAGCACAGTGACATCAGAGCCATATACTGGCCTCAGTGCCTACAGCCAAGTAGGAAATCCACAGAGCTGTGCTTGGAGTATGGATGATCCACTCCTCTGTTCATCAATCTCATTGCCTTTTCTGGAGTGACTTTAGTAAGGGGTCTGAATTAGATACAAATTTGATGCTATTTTTTTTTTCTGAGTAGAGAGAACCTAGGCAATATCAGGCATAAATATTTGTTACTAGGTATTACTGTTTTCATTGCAAGCCCATTTCTGTTTGTATTTGTTAATTAATAGGCTTACTTAGTCTCCATTATTTAATGCAGCCTTAAAACAAACAGTATGTATCCAGTCTTCTAGGCAATATTACAGTAAAAAATAGTAATATGAAATAGTTACTTTCTTTTCTTACACAAGAATTTGTCTATTATGAGCTATTTTTTTCCTTTTGCTAAAATTCCAGTCAGTGTGATTCAACTGTATTTCACAAGTCATACAAAGCCAGATGAAACAAGTTACACTGTGATCTGAAGAGAAGTGCTATTTATAAAGTGAAACTAGGTCATCAAGCTCTATTTTGATTTTAAAAGCTGTGCTTGACTTAATCAGCATCTCTGAAAATAACCCCTTTGCAAGAGTACAAAAAGTGTCTTTTACAGGTTCTTCAATTATTATTTTTCAGTTTTCTAGAGTGTTGCTGTTCCTGTACAAATCTAAGTAGCATAATAATGGAACAAAGCTTTTGTCAAATTATGCTTTAGTTGTATCTTGGTTTCGTGTTACAATTTGGTGCATATATAGATTGAGCAAAATTACATTTGTTGATATTTTGCCTTTTTCTCAGTCCTTGCTAATGTCTGACTGGTGTAACTCCCATGTTGCAATATAAATATATAAACTGGCCCTTACAGCTGCAGATTTTTTCTCCTAAAACTCAGTGTTTTAGTTGTTCAGGCAGTAGTTCTAATGTATATATGATTACAAATAGAGATAGGTTGGATGTTAAAATGGCAATTGGCATTCTGATGCAACCAGCATTTTTTAAGGTATGCCCATATACCAATACTATTATTCATGCAGCTACTAACTTTTTGACAAATATTTTTTTTAGTGTTAAATCTGGATTAATTGAAGTACTTGTACAGCTTTGCAACTGAAAGACTGGTGCTAGTCTCACTGACTTCAAGTAGCTCTTGATATATTTACAATGATGA